CCCACCCCCACCTCCACCAGCACCTCCAGAAGAAATACCACCCCCTCCCCCTGAAGACGATGGCATAGATTCTTCTGATAATCAAAAGTAAGTTACTGACTCAATAAATAAGCACAATCTAACACAAATCAAAACTTTTTTTCTGGAATTAAGAAACAACAACAAAAAGACTACGCAATTTGATGGGGTAACTAGATTTACACAGAGAAATTTTCATCCAGGCCCTTTCTAAATATTTAGAATTTAGAGGTTGATTTTTGTGAAGGGAGGAAAACGGAAAAACCCAGGGAAAAACCCAGAGAAAAACCCTCAAAGCAATGGAGAGAACCAAAAAACGACTCTTCTCACTTCTCACATACAAAAAGTCCAAGAATCAAACCTGGGTCATATTGGTAAGAGGCGACCACAGGGTTGGACTAGAGCCTATCCATGAAATGTCTGTACAATTATTTAGTATGTTTTCTGTCATCTCTTATCAGTATAACATCAATGACGTTAGCGTCACACTCAGTTCCACCCACCAATAGTTCAGCAGTTTTTATGGCTGCAGCTTCTAACAGCATAGCAGGGCGAAGCCTTATTGATTACTCAGATCTGGAGATTCTGTCCAACAGCCCTGTTGTCCCCCAGGAACTAGCTGGCGCTTCTTATCAGGTTTGCTTACTTTTCTAGCTCTTGATTGCTTCTGTTACAAGAGCCTACATTCCTCCTGTCATCAGTGAGAACCAAGAGTTGCTGGTCAGAAGGAATCAATAGGCTCTGGACAAAGAATTATTGTGATAAATCCATGACAACATTGCAGTATGTGTCTGCAGTTATTAATTCTTGGGGTGCATGTTACGTCATAGCAACCATGCTGCTTCATGAATGAATCCTCATTAGCTTTTATTGTTAGATCAACCAACATGGTGGCTGTTTCATTGTTATTCATATCTCAAGGGATTTTGAGTCACGTGGTTGCACCCCAAGAATATTATGTCAGCCACAATAGCATCAAATTGGCCTTTTGCAACAAACAGTCACATACTGACATATCACTTTGATAAAGAATCAATTCAGCTCAAGGTCCCTTGGGGAAGGCTCTGCTGGATGGCAAACAAACTTTAAATTGCTTAGTATCTTGAAATCGAAAGTATCTTATAAGGGGAAAAAAATTTTTTTGAAAAGGTTTTGGATACGACATTAGTAGTTCAGCAAAACATCTTTAAATAAAGGAAGTCCAAATTTTTTTGCCATCCAGTAACAATCATGTGTCAATCTATCGCAAAAGGCCTGTTACTTCTAAGGTTTCTTAGCATATGTTCACCCGTTATTAAAGCATGTTTAATTCACTGGCTATACTGTTGGACTCTTTCAGAGCGGTACAGCCTCTTCTGTCCCGTCAACACAACTAGCAAGTACTAAACCCCAAGGAAAGAAGAAAAAGAAATTCAAGGTATGACAGCTGATTCCTGCCTGGAACTCCACAGTTACAGTATTACATTTACCAGCACATAGATCTAAAATAAAGAGTTTTAATAATACCGTAATTTCTAGAATGTAAGGCTTAGTCTCACTTGTAAAATAGAAAAACAAATAGCAGAAATTAAAGTAACAAAAATTCCTGGATTCAAGGATTCGTCAAAAGTCAGACGAAAAAGTGTAACGTTACTTATAAGGGGAAATATTTCTTTATTTGTTTATTCATTTATCTATCTATTCATTCATTCATGCTTTCTGTCTCTAATATGAATATTTCATGTGTTAGAAGGGGAAAATGTTTGGCTCCACGTTATCGTCCAAAGTCAGAAAAGTATCGTCACTTGTCCAGAAATGGCAGACTATCGAACAACAACAAGTGGAACCAGAATTACTGGACAGCAGTGAAGAAGAAGATGAGGATAGAGAAGAAATGAATAAAAGAATGATAGAAGAATGGAAAGAAAGCCAAATGCAAAGGTATGTGGTGAATATCAGAGCTAGACTCAGAGTTTTCATTTAGGGTCGGGGATCAGAGAATGCTCCGGTAACTGACTAGAATTCTCCGGCTTAAACTACCACCTACAGCTTGGTAATTCGTAAAAATACCCACTTATAGCTATTAGACTCTTTGGCTAGTTCATGACTTCTATCATTTCAAAACTTAATAAAATCCCTACGAGCTAGTGCTTGATGTGTGCACAACGTAGGGAGCAGTTCGTTATAAGCTATTCAGAGGTTGAGGAAAAGACTGGTTCGAGTTGGAATTGCAGTGCATTGTGGGACGGGTTTAGGGAAACTATTTCCTAGATGGCGTACATTTCGTGCCCCAAAACAGTCCCATAGTGCATTGCAATGTCAACTCGACCCAGTTTTGCCTCAACCTCGAAATGGTTAATATAACTTGTCTCTAGCGACAGGGCTGATAAACGTACGCGCTTGTACCAAGTTGTTCAAGCAAACAAACAAAGATGGCCGCTGGAAAATTTTGCATCTAACACCCACTAGTTTTTCAGGGGAAAGCAATTTAATGCGAAACGTTCTACATGCGATGAAAACAAATCTTAGGAACTGGTTAATAGATTAGAATAAAATGTTTTAACCTTCAAGAAATGAGCTTATCCTAAACATTACACGAAGCAGGAAAGCCTATATTGTTATCCGCAACCGCTGACTCGTTTTTTCAGCCCTATCATCCCTAGTAGAAGACTGGGGCTTGGACTCACAACCAGGCGCCATCTAGACTCGTACCCAGTCGTCACAGGTTTTTTTTAATGCGCGCGAAGGCTTTTGGAAAGGACATACACCGCGAACTCACTAAATCCTTCCTATCAACCACAACTTAAGATCAATAAGAGAAGAGAAGCGACAAACAATTTCACACCTGATTTACACTTGACTTTCCTTGCTCCACAGTGGTAAAGCTTCTCTGAACCCGAACTTCGAGGAAGTCAAAGGAGACTGGCGAGAACGCCTAAAAATCAAAAAGTACGCAGGCAGCAGCAATCCAACGTAGATCAACAAATATAAAGAATACTAGCTGGACGAACAGACAGGATGTTCTTAGATAAATACCATCCCCTGGTCTAGGGTCTTCAATGCACTCCAACATCAGGATAATGCTATCTAGTGTATATACTACTATGATAAGTTTCATATCATGTCATCGCCGCCATGTTGGTGGTACTTAACGGAATATTTCTCCTTTTCTTCCTTTGTCAATAGCACCAACATGGCCGCTTGGCTGTAATTGGTTGCAAACCATGCGTAGGTTCAGAAGTTTAGCTTGTGTTATATATACCAAAAATGAGTAACTCTTATACCCCGATTACCTACAAAACATTTCCGTCAAGTTACAAGGTAAATAACTCACATTCTATATTTTAGATGAGCGGAAAGAATCAACGCTCCGGAAAATATAGTATAATTGCGAGGACTGTAATATTTCCCCGGCCAGGGCATTGGATTTTGATGAGTAAATGAGCTTTTAGAGCAACTGGTTATTCAATATTACGGTGCAAAGGACGTAGCTTTCATCTTGCATTACTATCGACTTGTATTACAAATTACGGTCAATGTTTTGAACATTGTAGCCTATAGAAACTCACTTTACCCAGAACCCACGTAAGCTTTGGACGCCGCCAAGGAAGGCTTTTAGGCAAATACAGGAAAAAACTATTTTCAAAAGATGACAGTTGTATTTGACCAGAGTCTTTTTTGTCGGTTAATAAAAAGAGCTTGGGGTCTGGAAACGGGAATGGGCTGTGCTCCGTTCCAAACTTTAAATACTATAGGAAATTTATTTTAAATAGGAAAAGAATAGTTTTTATATTTAACAAGCTTTTTGCCAATTATGGCATTCTAAGCACGTTTAGTTTTATTGCCGGGTTTCTTGGTTGTATCGGGGTGCTGGTCTGATAAAGAAGTCTGATCAGCTAGCTGTCACGTGACCATTTGTCGTCTGTAGGTCTAGTTTTGTCACGTGTCAGTTGTAAACTCGACTGTAGAGTAAGAATCAGCGTAAGAATGTGATTATCCTGAGAAGTTGCTTAACTGTGTAAATAGATGGATAAATAAAGATAATTGTTTTAGAAAAAAGAATCTGGTTTGTTTTCTAAAAGGTAAATCACTGGAAAGGACGGGTAATAGTATAGGGCTGAATAATTTGTACTGGGAACCTGCGCGAAAATGCACTCTACGATGAGTTCATACAATAGGGGCTTAGCACCATCACGGTATGGCAGCCAAGACAAGAAGCAGGAACGACGGAATCTGGCCTAATCTTACCACAGGTAGCCCAAGCTTGGTTTCTGTGGTGTCCTGTTATAAGGAAATGTATGGGGATTCATCAAAAACTTCAATAAAATCATTGAAACGTGAAATAAAGCTTCGAAATTTTACCCGATCATTGAGAAATAGCACTTCTTTCGCTCTGCGTGGTTATTTTTTGAATTTAGCCCGTTTTAAGGATTTTTCCCCCCACCAGTAAGAAATAAGAGAAGCTTCTTCCCTGTGATCTTACTTACATGAGAAAGAATTCTATCGTTGTGCCTCCTGTCATGGCTGCTCTTCAATAAGCTTGACTTCAGTCATATAGAAAAACGAATTATTGACAAGAATAAGAAGCAGAAACACAAGTCATACCAGCTTTTATGTATCTTGGAAAGACCTATCTCATATGGCCTACTTTGGCTCTGACAACGCCTTATTGATATAGGTGTATACAAAACAAAGAAATTGGTTAGATAAATCCTATAGAAACGTTTTGCAAGGTAACTGAATCTTTAACAATTCTGTTCGTGGCGCAACAAAATTAATAAAAAGGTGAATAATTAATTAACAAAATAAAAATAGCTATCAATTCTCGCGTCCAAGAGTCGTGCATGACATCATCATGACTGTGTGGTTGAGTCGTTAAGCGCGCTCTTCACGCGCAAGATCACAGGCACGCGTTTGACGAGCACGCGCTATTCCCTGCTAACGGATAACAGGATTTTTGATGTGCAAGGATGCATGCACTTACCTCGCAATGTATTCAATTTTGAAAAGGACTATCGTTATTCTGATATTCGTGTTCAGTACATATGACTGTGTATGGTTTGGAGTCATAGGTAAATCGTTTTTGTTCTTTCTTGATTTGTTGTTTCCTCTTTTCATTTCCCTTCTTGTACAGCTTAGCCTGGTTGCACGAAGAGTGAATAGTCCTCTCCGTTTGATAAATCCGTATGCAGGGGATAGATTTATTAGATTGATTTTATTTATTTGGTAACGGATAGCGCCGTGTCCACTTTTCATGCAACCGGACCTCAAACAATAGTAGTGATACCGTTTTCCGTCTTCTTTTCTTTCTTCAGATCTGGTTATGATGTTGTCTGGCGAGAATCCCTATACCTCTGCAGTGATCATGAGTCAGTTGATCTTGGTTTACTGCTTCATGTTATACAGGCAAGTAGATCTCCAGTACGATATCACCATATTCAGAGCAAACCAAAATAACAAGCAAACTAAGCATCAGTTTTCACGAACCCTTAACTCTGGCTGATCTATAAGTCAGGCTATATGTGGCTAACTTACAATAGCCCTGAAATAACCTCTGTCGGGAATGATCTAATTCATGACAAGACTAAATTTTACTAACCTAATAGCAGATTTAGCGTGTTGGGTTTTGCGGAGGGGTGAAAACGGAAAACCGGAGAAGCGGAAAAAACCCTCCCCCAATCAAGGGAGAGAGACACCTAATGAACTGTAGCCACACGTGATGCTAGACCAGGAATCAGACCCGAGAACTTGCCTTGCCTTGCCTTGCCTTGCCTTGCCTTGCCTTGCCCTTGCCTTGCCTTGCCTTGCCTTATTTTTACTTTATCTTGAAGAAACCAAGTTCCCACAATGGCCCAAGGTAGCTTTCTTTGTCTTGCCATGTTTGTTGTACTGGCTTCAGTGATGATAGCAAATGCAAAGCTGGCAAAGCATGAGNTTGCCTTGCCTTGCCTTGCCTTGCCTTGCCTTGCCTTGATAAATAGTTCAAACCTATTTATTCTATCTATTCACAGCACCATAGCAGATATATTTTGCTTGACAACTACTGAGTCTTTCATTAGCCAAACATCTTCTAGTTCCAGTGGATCAGACACTCAAAGCCAATCTTCTATTGTTTCCTGCCGCGATGAAGTCAAGAATAATAGTTTTCCGGCTACCACCACAACAAGACATACTTGGGTTTGGACGTCTGATGAAGACCTTGAAGATGAAAGTTAAGAAGAATAATAAAGAACTACCTTCATACAACGAACAATATTTTTATTGAGATAGATTTCAACAAGAAAAATAATGAAACGTAGCAATTAGAAAAAAATGTATAATTCGCAAAGAAAGCTGTCGAAATAAAATCTGTGATGATATCCGTTTTTCCGAGGTTCTCTGCGCTCTCTTCCTTACACGACCATGAAAATGTCCAATCGCGTTGCCAGAGCCCTGCGGTATCCTCCTTTAAAGCATCGTCAGCATCAGCGCAAACCCGCTGACCATAAAACCGGACAGCTGTGGGCACGAGATGGGAAAATCGTGCAAGCAATCGCTCAAAGAGACCGTGTTTAAGGATGAACTACAAGGCGATATTTGCACAATTGTAGTAACTCCTGGTGCAACAATATGCATTTGATCCAATGCAAATAATATAAAAACTCATGATGAGATAGTTCTTTCTTTATCTGACACCGAAAAGTCCTATTACGTTTACTGAAGAGCTGCAAATTGAGCAATATTCTCGGTGCGCGCGCTTTAACCGGAAACGGAAATCAAAGTATTAAACTCAATCCGGGATCGTAAAAGGATCCTTTATAACTATAGCATGACCTGAATGTACTACCATGAACAACATGAACATGAGCAACCACAACTAGACGTAATGCTTTTCGATTATCACTTAGTTGACCGTTGAGTGTATTTGAAAAAAGCCTGGTAACTACGAATATGCTCCGATTATGACGTCACCTCAGTATATGACGTCACAATACATTTATTCTAGAACACACTTTTGCTGTACGTTTTACTTTGCATTGGTTAAACCAGCAAGAAGGAATTTTCTCAGGATGTTTTCTGTTTTGAAGAAGATTATTGGTATTATTATATTCGTGTTTGGATGCTTCGACTGCGTCAAATCCAGGGTTATTGGTAAAATCTTTTTGCTTGCTTCTATACTTTGTCGTATAATACTTTTCTCGTTTTTTGTAAATCTTTATTTTCATAATCACTTTTCTGTTAATATTTGTTGCTTGTGATTGATTGTCTGGTCTGCCCTTTTCCAATAAACCAACAATATTACCTTTTACATTTAACGTATACATTTTGTTTCAGGTTTTGTAGTTATGCTGACGACCAACCATTTTTTTACATTGGCGGTGGTTACGAGTCAGTTTATGTTGTTCTACACGTTGTTTCATTGTATTCCATTCCGAAGGTAAGAAGATATTTGTCCGTTTGTCATCCATCGATAAAACGAACACATGCAGTAAACACATGCACACATGATGACTGACCAAAGAACAGACAGACAGAAAAGAAAAACACACTGATGAGGTCTGACTAAGCAAAATATAGCTGGACAAAACTTACAGACTGTCAAGCTCACTGACTGACAGGGACGCTGGCAAACGGACAAACAAGTGTAGGACCGAGGTTGTTTGTTTATTCATTCACTCTAATTTGTCTAAGTTGTCTCTCCTCATACCGACTTCTCCTTCATCCATCCTATTTTCCTCGTGATATTCTCAATCCTAATCTTCTTCTCGGTATCCTGTCTCTAGTTTAGTGTTCAGGGCACTTGGAGGTGATCCATGGGAACTTTTTTCCAAATCCCATCTTCAGCAACTGCACCAAGATACGTGTTATTGGAGTTCCAGTGAGTCAGACACCGTTGTCTACGATCCTGAAAACCTTCATTGGAGCTCATCTTCTCTTTCTACCTACCTGGATGAAGTCCACAATCAAGATGGCGGCCAGTTTACTCTTCCCCCTACCAAACCAACAAGACATACTTGGGTTTGGACATCTGATGAAGACAGTCAAGATGAAAGCTACGACGATGGAGTTTCAGGTAATGATGCAGGTTACATGACAGAGACGACCACAGAGAGTGATTCAAGCTGTTATGAGATTGAGGAGAGCGTAGAGATCCAACAACATCTACCCAAGTCACCAACAGAGATGATTTCCATGAAGGTCGAGGCTATGGATCAAGTGATTGATACCAAGGATGACATGATGGACCAAGTTCTTCATGGAAAAGTTGATGCTAAAGTTAGCGAGAGTGTAGTTGGAAGCTTAACAGAAGTTCCATCGTCCTCTTCTGTTCAAGAAGTGTCTGCAAACATTGTGGAAGGTGCTGATGACATCTGCGTAGTCAGCATGGCTCCAAATGCTGATGTAGCTTCTACAAACGGTACAGATGTAGTTAACGATGATGTATCAAGCCTTCCAGGTGACACAGATGATGTTGTCTTACATAGTGACAGCTTACAATTCTTTGAGAGGGTTGTGTTTTGTGACGATGTTGATGGCTTCCAGTATACACAGATGACTGATGGTGAATATTGCTGCAGAGATGAAGTGAATAGCTTCCCTGGATCTTATGAGGAACCCATCAGTACTGATGGTATTTTGCAGAGCAAAGCTGTGAAGCTTGGTCTATTGGCTGCAGGTGTTGGCATCGGTGCCTACATTGTCTACAAACTTTGTATTAAGAAGTAAGATTAAATAATCCAGAGATTTTAGGATAAAAACGATTCTGGTAATCAAAAACTTTCATTTACCCGTGATATGATTACGCTTTTCAAAAGCAAAACGTTTCCAGTCAGAATAATGATTTTCATTGTACTGATTTAATTATTAAAATGTAAATACTGCAAACGTTTGAATATCAGTGTTATTATTAATTTGTCAATTGATTACTAATGCAATTTGAAATATGAGAAAGTACAAACCGGCAAATCCTTGGTGATTGTAAGTTCTTACAGATTGCCCATTTTTACCTGAGATAAAACAATGTCTTCTTTATATGTTACCAGCCAATCAGAGAGCAGGAAAATTAATATACATCGTGAAAATAAACTTGGAAAGCCAACCACCAATGATGGAAAACATTACCGTGATAAATGACCATGAAACGGAGCGGTGATGGGGAAAGGGAGTAGTAAGTGCACACGATGGCTTCAAGATTTCCCTCCCCCTACCCCCACCCCGGGCCCTAAAGAAATCAAGGCTACCCCAGATATCACTTGTCGTTCGCTTCGATTACCTTTTGAGTATCTTTTTTTACAGTGAGGAACACTTCAAGTTTTTTGTCCCTTTTTGAAAATATATGCTGTAAATCACCCCTTGAGGCAATCGATTGGAAAGAAGATTTATTTTGTTCACTGGGTGTATTTGAACTCAAATTTTCACTTAGAGGTTTTGAAACAATAGAAAGCTCAGGAAATAATGACCTGGGGGACACGTGAAGTATTCACGGTTCGATCGTCCATAGCGAACTGTAATCTTTAGACCCCTTGCAGCACATTCGAATACAGCTCAATTTGGAATAAAAAGGTTCTCAGGAGATTGAAATTATTTTTTTTTTCTCCAAATTTAGCTTCTTTGACGTCTATATGCATGATATCCAAAACCACAATAGAATCTACATTCAAAGATTATATTTATTCATTTGTCTCACGATTGTGGCAGTTTCGACTAATACTGCGACTAATCAGGCGATGGCGTAGTCTGAAGGTTGTCTTCTTGGCTGTGATTGGCTGCAATAGGTGGGCGTGACGGAGTGCTTTCGAACGGTCGGTATCCACGCTCAAGAAATCTCAATTCTGCTGTCCTCATTGATGTTGTTGGGATGGAGTCTAATATGGATGGCTTCTTTGACTTTTGCGTGTGTACTGATGATTGTCTCTGTCGATTCACTCGACGTTCTACCAATCTGGGCGGATGTCTCTCTCATGTTTTTTTCGATCTTTCTTGCCTGGTCTCCCAGATTCACCGATGTAGACGCTGTAACACTCGATGCACGGGATCTTGTAGACTACTTAGTCATGTCGGCCAGAAGGGATTGATTTGAATAAATTAATCTTGCATAGAAACGTATAGAACAAAAACCAAATTAGGGCTAAAGTATTTCAGTATTAGATGATTATCGAGAATTTTAACGATTCAAAATATATGATGAAAAATCCACTAGCATTGTTTGATACGCAACGCATGATGGGATAGTCTGTTGGCTTATTAAACAAAAATTAACGACTCATTCACCTCCGACGTGACTCGAACCCGCAACCTTCGGCTTAGGAGGCCGACGTCATATCCATTAGACTACAGAGGCTTTACAATCTAAAGTTCATCATTGTGCCAATACTCTTCCTTCACATACCCATAATACTTTGCGGGTGTGAGGGTAGACAGAGGAAAAAACCACACTTATTGTGCTGAAGGCTGATTAAATAGTAAGCACCTCGTTTGATGTTCAAATGCTAAAATGAAACAATAAGAAACAGGGAAAGATATAAGTTAGCTTTTTTAGAGATTAAAAAAGGTATAGTGTACTTTCAGTTGAAGAACATTTCATTTTGGGACAGTATTTGATTGGTTACCCCAAGGCGCAAAGTATTGTGGGGCATTCGAAAGTAAAGAATGCGACCTGTGTTCGATTTCCGGTGTCGTATTAGCCATTACGAGAAAGGCTGAGGAAAAACCTGGGTCGAATTGACATTGTAGTGCATTGTGGGGTTTTTTTGAGACATATTTCCAAGATGGCAAAAACTGTCCCACGATGCACTGCAAATACCTACTCGAGCCTTTTCCTAAACTTCGGAACAATACACCATTTTCGTATGATGCACACCGCTGATTTTGAAGACCAAAGACCAGGTCTACATTTCAATGGTAACAGTACTGTTGCTAGCGAAACAAGAGAAAGTACAACTAGTTTAATCCTTGGTGATTGTAAAACCTCTGACAGAATTCGGATATCAAATAATCTAGATTAATAATAGTATTTCGTGTAGCATGTGCAATAAGAATCCTTTGAAAGACTTTGGGGTCGAGAGTGATTTCAGTACTTAAATTTGAAATTAGGCTACCTGTGTTCTATGTAAGAAACAATATCTCTAACCTAACTACCGATTCTTGATTTCTTACCAAATGCGTTATCAGGTCTTGAAATTCTAAATCTATTAGAATAGATTGGATCCGACCTTTGTACGTGGCTTTAATCAAAACAATCGTGGTCTATTAAAGTTCTGTGCGTCCTTGTTCATTTGATATCTCAAAGAAATACTCTTAATTAGAAGAGTCTAAATAACCAAGTGTATCTTTGGAAACTAAAAATGGATGGAAACGTTTCCAAGTCGAATATGTTAACTGCTTCAACAATAGTCACCATTATTTCGTTAGTCGCTCTGTTGCTGTGCTGTGGTGAGTTCGTACGTATCGAGATGGTTCTGAAGCAACAAAACACGAAAATACAACAGTTGGAGAACAAGATGACCTTTCAAGCAGTCAATGTCGACAACATGGCTGCAAACAAAGGAAAAGGCCTCGAACAACTCGCTTTTAAGAACGTTAAAGAATGCTGTGGAAGGACCAAGAAACGAATGCAAAGGAGTGTCGACGGGGAAGACTCTCCATTGCAGGGAGAAGCCAACGTTACGAATAATGAGAAACTGACCAAACTAATCGAGCAGCAAGTGAACAAAGCTATCTCTGCTAAGAACTTTATCGCTATACGAGGGAGAAGAGGCAGAAGGGGACCCAGAGGACCACAAGGACCCATGGGTAAACCAGGTAGAACAGGCAAGAAAGGAATACCGGGACTGAAAGGTGATCCAGGACAAATTGGAGTTGCCGGTCCTCGAGGCATGCCGGGACCGAAAGGGGACCGCGGTCCTTCGTTAGAACATCCATCAGTTGTGATCTCTCCGCCTAAATTGATCGTCAATGAAAGCAAAYCAGCCATTTTGCACTGTTCTGCAAGTGGATATCCTCGACCTGACATCGTTTGGAGTAAAGTGGATGGTTCATTGGCCTCCAACAGATCCATGATTGATGATACTGGTAAACTGTTGATAAAAGACGTCACATTTAATGACTCAGGGATATATCAGTGTCAGGCTTCTAGTATCCTTGGGAAAACACAGACAACCTCAAGACTCGWGRTAAATTTCCGTCCAAGATTRATATTAAAGAACGGACCAATMTAYGCTAGGWTAGGAGACAATGTTACTCTTCCCGTGTGTGGCGTGACTGGGCATCCACAACCGGAAGTTGTTTGGCGAAAGTCACTTGGCCAATTACCTGATAAACGTTCTCATATCGAAGAGAATAAATTAACTTTGGTGAGCTTACGAAAAGAAGACTCCGGGACGTATTTTTGTAAGGCTGAAAATCAACTTGGATTCGAAGTAGTAGGATGTATGCTAGTCGTGGTACAGTTGCCTGTTTTCATCGCTCGACCTCCGCTTGTCGTAAACGTCACACTCGGCTCGACCATTATCATGTGCTCAATTGTTCAGCTCAAGGTGACCCTCCACCGTTAATCAGCTGGAGAAAAGAGAAGCAGGATCTTCCAGTAGGACGGTATGAAATACGTTATGGCTTATTGATGTTAAAAAATATGCTCAGCTCTGACTCAGGTGTGTACGTGTGCACCGCTACGAGTGGTGACGTTGCTGATACAGAAACTAAAACACGAATAAACATTGTCTACAGAGATTGTGCAGATGTCTACAAATCAGGTGAAAGACGCAGCGGTGTGTACACAGTAAAACCCGACAGTCAAGGAACCTTTCAAGTCTACTGTGACATGACCACTGACGGAGGAGGGTGGACAGTGTTCCAGAGAAGAAAAGATGGATCTGTTGACTTTTATCTTGGCTGGCAGCAGTACAAAACAGGTTTTGGAAACCCGATTGGCGAGTTCTGGTTGGGTAATGACTACATCCATCGACTGACAGCAAGAACACCATCGACTCTACGTGTGGATCTGGAGGACTGGAGTGCAGTAAAGTATTTTGCCAAATATGGTAGTTTTAGTGTTGGTTCTGCATCAGACAAGTACAGACTCAAGGTTGGCTCTTATTCGGGTACTGCTGTAGACTCACTGACGTACCATAATAACATGTTCTTTTCTACCAAAGATCAACATAATGACGAGTATTATGAAAACTGTGCGTCAGTATATACTGGTGCTTGGTGGTATAAGTCTTGTTTTTATTCCAATCTCAATGGGAAGCATTTGGGAAACACCATGGATTTTAAAGGGATTGGCTGGCGTCATGCAAAAGATAAATATTATTCACTCAAGCGTTCAGAAATGAAAATACGACCCAAAACATTTTAATGTTATTCTAAGGTCCACTCCTTGTTGCGCTTTTACTAAAACCTCTCTCGTGTTCTGTCAATCATCGCGTGCTTTATGTAGCGACTGCAAGCAGCAAGCAAGCGCTGGTGCCATTTCAGCGCTGGTGCCACTTCAGTATACAGCACAGTTCTCGACCAATCATAGTGCTTATAGGGAGGTGACTATATAATAACAATATATCCATGACTTTTGATCCCAAATGTATAAAAGCTTAGTTAGAATGAAACAGGTCGAGAGGGTGTACTGAGCTCTTGAATATGGATTCCTATTGTATTGTAGCTTCCTTTAGATAGACGAGAACTGGAACAAATCTACTTCTTGATATCGATTGACATAAAATCATAATCATCTGAAAATATATATAAACATACTGATGTATTTGCCGCTTCTGCGCATGACAGCATCCATATATTTAGTTCTCCACAGCCACCAGACGACTGAGGTTTCAGCTTCCTTCAATCAAATATTCATGTACGCACTTTATTACATCCATTTTGAAATCACAAGCAAATCCT